ACCGCCTCGGGAACTCTCCGGAGTGTTGGGAGTGGGGCTTTGTCCTGGGTGGGAGACTCGACCCCCTGAGGCTGGAAGGGGAAGGGGCTGGTCCCTGCACCCTGTCCAGAATGTGCTTTGCGACATCTGTTTGTCCACCCAGAGGCTTGTTTTTGCTTGCGGTCTGCTGCCTGGGCCTGCGGTGCGAAGGGTCTTGGTTGCTAAGGTTGGGTACAAATCCGCCCGAGTGACGGGAGGCCGGCTCCAACTGGCTTTGCCTCCCCGGGTATTGCAGACAGGGTATTTCCTGAGAAATTGTCCTCGTACCTGCCCCTCGCTGCTCATAATACTTTGTGGCTTGGTATTCCAGTGGCCGAATCCCTCTCTCAAAATACTTTAGCTTGCTTCCCCCAGACGCCCAGCCGACTTCCTCGAGTGCGTCATGAATCTCCCTTCCAGAGCCGCCCGTGCAAATTGTCCCGATGCGCTGACCGCAGCAGCCCGGGGTGAACTCGCCGCCGGTGGATGTCGCTTGCGTGTTTGTGACATGGCCTTCAGCTGTGGTGGCGTCGAGATAACTCAGCATTCAGAACCGTTTGTGGGCGGAAGCTGGGGACTTTTGTGTGGCGCCTTTATTTTGTAGGTGACAGCAACAAAGCGGGAGGGGGCGGGTTAGGGGACTTTCTCAAGGTCACACAGTCAGAAATTACCTGAGTAAATTGGGACGAGGCGGCTTTTCTGTCTTTCACTTCAGTACTCTTCTATCTTCACCAAAAGCTATTTTTTTCTATTTTTTTAATTAAAATTTTCAACTTTAAAAAAATGGTGGGAAAATATGCACAATATGAAACTTACCGTCTTACCCATTTTAAAAAAGATTTATTTATTTATTTTTGGAGAGAGGGGAAGGGGGAGGGAGGAAGAGAGGGAGAGAAACATCAATGTGTGGTTGCCTCTCACAAGCCCACAAGTGGGGACCTGGCCCGCAACCCAGGCATGTGCCCTGACTGGGAATCGAACTGGCGACCTTTTGACTCTCTCGCAGGCCAGCGCACAATCCACTGAGCCGCACCAGCCAGGGCCCGCCTTAGCCATTTTTAAGTGTCTGGTTCAGCGGCATGACGCGAATTCCCACTGCTGTTCGGCCACCGCCGCCATCTACCTCCAGAGCTCTTTCACGTCCCCACCCCGAGACCCTGCCCGTGGGGCGTGAACTCCCTCCCCGGTCTCTGGTGGTCGCCATCCTACTTCCCGTCTCCGCGCACCTGACTCCTCTGGGTGCCTCGAGTCAGTAGGACCACTCAGCCTCGGTCCTTTCCGTCTGGCTTGGTTCACTGGGCATGACGTCCTCTGGGTTCATCCACACTGCAGCCAGCGTCAACATTCCCCCCTCCCCGTTTATGGCTGAGCAATGCTCCACTGTCCATGTGTCCACCTTTTGTTTATCCTTCCTTCCATCGGGGCCACTCGGGCTGCCCCTGCCCTTGGCTGCCGCGAGCGGCTTTGCTGCTGTGAACAGGGACGTCCAAGCTTCTGCTCCCCAAAAGCTGCTCCGGATAACAAACCTGTACGTTTAGTGCACTCGCTGCTGCCTGCCATCGCCGCTATTTTTTTTTCTCTTGGAAATTTTGGAAAATGCAAAAAAACCACAACGAAGAATCGAAAAATCACTGATTTTATGGCAGATATTTCCAGGATTTCATATTCATGTTACCCCAGATTTGGAAAGTTTATACAAACTGCGGGAGAATTTGCACAGGTAGGCCACTCTGTAGTAGGGCGAGCACTTGCGATTGTTTAAGACAGAGAGTGTGGAGAGTGAATGTGGCCTTGGCCAACCACCCTGGCACTTTAGGGATGAGTTCATCCAAAGCATGATCTAACCTTAACACTAGCACAGCTTTGGAGCGGTGCCCAACACCATCTTAACGTCTTTAAATAGAGTGTCCTCCTGCTAAGAGGAGTCCTAATGGTGAACAGGGTTGCCAGGGCCGGTCTGTCCCAGGTCTATTTCTTAAATATCCACTAGGGGGCAGTGAAAGACATAAATGTTTTAATAGGCTTGATGCCTGCCAAGCAATCAGTCCACCGCATCCTCTGTGTATCTCTCTCAGCCATCAGTGCATACAGTTACCAGATAATGGATTTCACGTCCAACAGCGGGTTTGGGTGAAAATGGAGATACCATCAGCTTCAGCCTAAGTGCAGGTCTTCCTCCTGTTCAGGCCAACATCACTGCGTAAAACTTCACTCAGTGTGTTGGTCCCAGGCTGTATTTTTATTTAACTCACATTAGTCCAGGGGCACTCAAGCCGAGCGGATGTCAGAATCACACCATCATGCTCTTTCCAAAATACGCATGCCCGGGTCTCTTCCCAGGTCTGTTAAATCAGAATTTGGGGGTTGGGGTGGAGTTATAGAGACTATATTTAGATTCTGGTCCATGACTTCTTGCTAAGAACCAATGTATTCATTTTCAACTTTAATAACTGAGGGAAAAGGGTCACCCTTGAGTAAAACCTCAGAGGACAATGAATATGAAATTCTGGAAAATCTTTCTCTCTCTCTGTAAAAATAGAAGTCGCTGACAGGTCTGGTGGGGGTGGGAACCGCATCTGGCACGGTGAGCGGGCTCTCCCGTAGATGGCACCGGGACCCAGGCAGAAGGCCTGGGGCTGGGGCGGTCCTGGCAGCCTGGGGGGTGTCTGCGGTCCAGTTGCAAGGAGACCGCGCTCAGGTCCCAGCTCTTAGTGTGAGGACAGCTCGGAGACCAACGCTGTCTGCTAAGTTAGGAGAGCCTGTCCTGTAGGACTCAGGAAAAAGAGACCTTTCATTTTATTGTATCGGAGGTGAACATGGCACAGAGAATGTGCTGTGAGGTCAGTTCTAATCCTATCTGACTCCCTAGCAGGTTAGGGGGACCCAGGGCAAGTCACGTGACCTCTCAGGGCCTCAACGCCTGCATTAGAATGAGAGAGGGCTGGGCGATGTGATCTCAGAGGATCCCTCCAGTTCTAGGAATCCAGGGATTCTGTTAATGTTCATAATCCTGATTTGTGTGGTGCTACTCTGGCAAAGAGCAGAAGAAATAGTCAGTAATGCAATGAATGGCAGAGACTATTGACCGTGTAGTTTAATTTATTTAAGGCATATACACTGGATTCAAAGGAGAAAATATTGCTCCCGATAATACATTAAACTGTTAGTATCTTCAGCCTTGCAAAAGCTTTCCAGAGGGAGAAATTGCCCATCGGTGCAAACGTGACATTTTTTACTTCCTGATCTATAACTGCCATTTCTCCAGCGCATTCATATTTACTGTAAAGGGCCAAATGTATGAATGCTCTGGGTGAATATTAAACAACTACACATAAACGTCAAGGTCACGGTTGCAAGACAGGCTCCGTGGAAGGCCCGGGGAGGCTTGCATTGATCTCTGGTGAGGTTCCATTCTCGAATCCTGCTGACAAGGGGAAACAATTGATGTGGGCCATTATTAAGGCTTTAAGTGTTTCTCCATTGTTAAAGATCTTTTACAAGCCTGGAGTAACTGATAGTGCCCAAGGAATTGGCAAAAGCTTCACTGAGAAATATAGGCTGGTCCGAGAGATAAGTAAAACCCAGAGTGCAGACGTCCTCCCAGGTTGGGCTTCGAGGCAGAGGTGGAGGCGAGGCGAGGGTCGGCCCAGCTTGGGGGCATGCCGCCTCCCCTGAGTTGCAGGGCCCAGATGGAAGGAAGGCCTGTTCTGGGCTCTTCCACGCTGCCCAGAGAGTGACTTTCAAACCCACCTTTAAACTTCCTCCAGCTCCCTGCCCCTGTGAAAGCCTTCCCTCCAGCATTCAGCCCATCCATTCCCCGTAGCGGCATGAAGGATATGACAAGGGCCCGGGGAGCTGGGTGAGCATGAATTATGCAGACCCGGAGCTCCAGACTGACTGTCTGGACCGGTCAAGCATCCCGGATAATTAAGCGAGCATCCTGCTGACCTGGAGCTGGGAGGAGAGCAGATATTATGGATGACAGAATCCAGTTTGAAGAAGATCTCAGCAGACGGGAGGATTGGCCAGGTCCACGGGATGAACCTAAGGAGAGAGACAAGTGATCACACTCGCATTTCCCAGGCACGAGCTCTCTGTCTGGCGTTGTGCTCGGCCCTTCGCACGTTTCCGTCTGTTTCTTCTTTACAGTGACCCAGGAGGGCTGGTTTCACCTTCCCATTTGTAGGATGAGGAGCCTGAGACAGGGCAGTCCTCGGTGAGCGTCCCACAGGAAGGTGCGAGCGCAGTTGGGTCCAGGGTCTCGGCTCCGACCCCAGCGCCGCCCCTCCGTTAACCGGCAAGTGACTGCACCTTCGAAGGACAGCCCCCCTAGGTGTGGCCGCTGCCTGGGTCAGGTCCCGTGGGCCTATTGTTTGCATGCATTACCTCATTCATCCTCAGAACGGTCTTCCTCCTATTTTACAGGTGAGGGAGGCACAGATAACTTAAGTAACTTGCCCAAGGTCACACAGCAAGTAGCAGGGCCAGGATTCGAGACCAGGCAGCCTAACGCCACAGCCACACTCTTCACAACTGATGCACCATCTCCTGTGTTCTGTATCATAAAAGGAGAGCCACCGTATTTTCTTACATGAGATAACTCATGCAAAGTGCCTGCTATATGACCTGGCACATAGTAGGCACCCATAAGCAGTGCTAGATCCCCATCGTCATCATCAGTTATGTGACTTGTCACGGTCACAGCTAATAACTGGCAAAGACCTGGGATTTGAGTCCAGGTCCCCTGACCACAGACCTGCTGTGCTCTTGACCTCCCTGCTGGAGGACAAGATCGGGGGCAGCCCGAGGCCACTGTCGGAGTACCTATTGTGGTGTCGTCTCCCTGGCGGGTGCCCAGTGAGTACCACACAGGCAGGGCTCGTCTCGTCACTCACTCACCACGCCCTTGCCGACGTCCTGCTGTGCCTTGGGGGTCCAGAGAGGGAAAGGACACCCTGCTAACCCTGCTCTTCTCCCCCCAGGTTCGAATGGTGAAAGACGGAAACCCTTCCTGGAAGCCCACTTTCATTGTGAAACCTGATGGTGGTTGCCAGGGCGACGGAATCTACCTCATCAAAGACCCCAGTGACATCCGCCTGGCAGGGACCCTGCAGCGCAGGCCGGCGGTGGTCCAGGAGTACATCTGCAAACCTCTCCTCATCGACAAGCTCAAGTTTGACATTCGCCTGTACGTCTTACTGAAGTCCTTAGACCCCTTAGAGATTTACATAGCCAAAGATGGACTCTCTAGGTTTTGTACGGAGCCGTACCAGGAGCCCACCCCCAAGAACCTGCACCACATCTTCATGCACTTAACCAACTACTCGCTGAACATCCACAGCGGGAACTTCGTCCACTCGGACAGCACGAGCACGGGCAGCAAGAGGACTTTCTCCAGCATCCTGTGCAGGCTGTCCTCCAAAGGCGTCGACATCAAGAAGGTCTGGTCCGACATCATCTCCCTGGTGATCAAGACCGTCATCGCCCTGACTCCAGAGCTCAAAGTCTTCTACCAGTCCGACATCCCCGCGGGGAGGCCCGGGCCCACGTGCTTCCAGGTAACGCCACCCATCCCCAGCAGGAGCTCCCCGCCTCAGCCTTGGGTGGGGTGAGGGGTGGGGCCAGGGTGGCCAGCGGTGGGGAGGGGTAGTTGCTAGTGTTAAACCAGGGTACAACTTGCTGCTTTCTACTTGCTAGCTGGGTGATTTGGGGTAAGTTACTTCCCTTTTCTCATCTGTAAAATGAGACCAATAGTAGCTCCCTTAAAGGATTCTTGGAAGAATTAAAGGAGACAACACATGTAATGCACAGTGCCAGCCAGCCATTCATTCATTCATTCATTCATTCTGGCAGTTTTACCACCAGCCGAGTAGGTGACCGGGCACTGTCTGTGGTCCCAGCGATACAGTGAGTCAGGTCCCTGCAGGCTGGTGCCCAGAGTCTACCACTGTGGGAGGCAGATGATTTAAAAAGTAATTAGTAGAAAGTGTCACAGTGCTAGAATGGCCCACTAATTGTGGGACCATCTAACATTTTCTGGGTGGAAGTGAGGGTGGTCTGGGAAGGCTTCCCAGCAGAAGTGGCAGTTAACCTGGAGCCTGAAGTAAGACTTAGAAGAAGCAGGCAAGGCGGCAGGGCTGGGGGAGACAAGGTCCCGGGGTGAGAGGGAAGCAGAAGCGTTTCGGGGTCTGAAAAGGTGCAGTGTGGTTGGAGGGTGGAGTCAGAGATGTGGAGGCAGATGAGGTGGGAGGGGTAGGTGGGGGCGGAGTCGTGGAGAGCCGAGGGCAGTGGGGGCCACTGGGGGGCTCTCGCAGGGCACCGGGGCACTCGGATTTGCACATTACCGACAAACTGGCTGCAGGGTGGGCAGTGGTCTGGGGCAAAGTTGAGGGTAGGGAGGTGACTAGTGAGCTGGTTGCTTTCATACAAACAAGAGATGATACTGGCTTGGATTTCAAAGGTCTTGGTGGAGGCGGAGACAGTAGCTTTGAGAGCGACTAGGAGGTAGAATGGCTAGACGTGGTGATCGGGCGGGGCTGGGGGGCAGTGGGCAGATGGTGGCAGTCAGGGAGGGGAAAACCAAGAATGAGTGGCGGGCGGCTCAGGCACTTGGGTGGATGTATAGATGCTACTGGAAGGGGACCGGGCTGCTTGGCTTGGGGGAGGTGAGGAGTTGGACTTGAACATGCCTTTGGAGTGCCTATGTGACATGCAAGTGGAAAGTCTGAGGAGACAATTGGACCTTTGAGCCTGGAGTTCAGGAGTGCAAAGTCTGGGCCGGAGAGAAAGATGGGGACCTCATGAACGTGCAGATGGGGACTGGGCCATGAGAGACTGCAGAGTAAGGTGAGGCCTGAGAAGACCCCGGGGTGGGGGGGGACCACCATTTAAGTAAGGGACCAAGGAGGGAGAACCCAACAAAGGAGACCAAGAAGATGTGGCTGGAGATACGGAAGGGGTACTAGGAGAGGGAGCACCGTAAGTGCTGGGGCGGGTGTGCGTGGAGAAGCAGCAGGCGGGGGTCAGCCTCAGCCAGTGCTGCTGAGGTGTCACCGAGACCAGGTGGAAACCATGCCTTGAACTTCCTGACCTCAGCAAGGTCAGTGAGCAGCGGGACGGGGTCAGAGTGCAGTGGACTGAGTGTGGGAGGGACAGAAAGGGAGTGAGGGCAGAGCATCCTTTCAGGTTGTTCGGCTGCGAAGGTGGGGTGGGGTGGGGAACGGGCAGGGCAGGCCAGGCACCCAGCAGGCACCCACTTTCCCGCCACAGATACACCAGAATGGGAGGGAGGTGATAAGAAGGGGTACCCCTGAGACCCTCTCCATCTAACCTTTAGAATTTCCTGGTAGCAGTCGCATGTAAAAAAGAATACACGAACGTGCAGGTGAGCTGTGAGGCAGAACCACAAAATAACCGTCCCCAGCCCACCTCCCACCCGAGGCCCCATTGCCTTGCTGCTCCCCACCCCGAGGCACGTTGCCCTCAACTTTCTGTTGGTCAACTCTTTGCCTTAAAAATACTTACAGTGCCCGTGAATGCATCCCTAAACAAGACACTGTTTTGTTTCGCTAGTTTCTGAGCTCTGTAAAGACTCCGTCGAGAGGTATGTGGACTTGCCCAGCTTTCTTTCCCCACATGTGCGTGTGTGTGGGTGGTTGGTGCTGTTTCATTTGCACGCTGTTTATCCTGTTGTGAACACGCACAGTTCATTTATCCGTTTTCGTGTCAGTGAGCATGCGGGTTGTTCCTGGCCCTCTAAGACTGTAACAGGAAAGTAACGGTGTGGCACAGGAGGGAGGGGAGAGGCAGCGGGGCAGCGCCCCCTCCAGGGTGGTCACCCTGGGGCCGGGACCCAGGCAGCAGGATTTCCAGGCAGGCGGGCGGGCAGGAACCCTCTGGAGGAGAGTTCAGGCAGCGGTCAGTTTCCGGGAGGGGTAACTGCCTTCCAGAGATCCGTCCTGAGGCCCTTGGGCCCCAGGCTTTGGTTCCCAGGCAGGACGTCCAGCTCAGCCATCAGGCATGTGGCTGGAGGCACTAGAAAGTGTGAGTGGGCCGGCCTGGGAGGCAGAATCAGAGAAAATGGGTCCTGGCCCAAGTCACCTTGGTTAGGGCGAAGGAGATGGTTGCGACGTGGAGGCATCCAGGGGTCATCCCGGGGGACTGTGCGGTCCCATCTGTTTGACAGGGACGGCTATTCCAGGCATATCATGTGGGCCTGGCGTGCACGGCCAAGCCACAGAGCCCTGGCACAGGGGGAGTGCAGGGTGGGGGGCCGGGCGGGTGCCGTGCAATGGACCGGGGCCCGGGGCAGCCGTCGGGGTGGAGCTGGGAGGACTGGAGGGCAGACAGGCAGGGAGCCACTGGTTTGGACAGATCACATGTAGCAGATGGAGCCGCAGCCCTGGGACCATTTTCCATTGCTTGACCGCATTAAATGCTTCCAGGCCTGGGGTCGGGGGAGGAGCACAGCAGTGGAACTGAACTCGAGGGGGCGCTCTTCCCCTTCCCAGCTGTGTGACCTTGGGCCTCAGTTGCTCTATGAATCACCTGTGCACACTTCCCTACCTGCCTCCTTAGGAGCATTGTGAAGTAATATAGGAAAAAGACTTTGACAAGCTAGAAAGTGTTAGGTGTTTGAAATGTGTTTTACCACATATTTCAGATTCACAGTGATTGAGGAAATACTATTCTTTTCTCCCTGGAGTCCTCTCTTGCTTTCTCCACATCACCTGTTTAAAAACACTTGTTAGTTTGGGTCTCAAACACCTGAACTAACTTGGAACCCAAAGATGTTAGGTCCTGCCATTGACTTGATGTGTGACGTTGCATAAGTCACTAACCTTCTCTGTGCCTCAGTTTCCTCAACTACCTCGCAGGGCTGTTGTCCAGTTTCTCTGAGATACCGATTGTGCAGGATTTTGCAAACTATAATAATGTTCTGCACAAATGCAGTATCATAAGTTCTTTCTTACTGTGAAGCCGCTTCTGCTTGCAGCTTGGGCCGGGCCCGGATCGCACATTCTGAGACATAAGCCCTGGCCCACAATGCTGCATTTAACGTGAACATGTGACTGTGACCCCTTCCAACCGGAGCCACAATAACTACTCTGGGAACGGTGATGGTCTGCAGCAGCCGCTGGCTCAGCCCAGGCTGTGGGCAGGCTTCCTGTAATTCACGGCCTGGGAATGTGGCCGCCCTGCTGTCCCGGCCCGTCCCCCGCTGTCGCCCAGGCAGCCCCCAGCAACACGTCCTCACGTCTGTCTTCTGGAGGGCAGCAGTGTGATGTGACCTTGGCTTTGACAGTAAGGTCGGTCTGGGTGTAGGCGATTCTCATGGCAGAAATGCACATGCAGAGGAAAGGCTTCCAGCTCAGCTTTCAAGAACATTCTATCCCATCTCCATTGCTTGGTCTCTGTCTTCCTCTAGCTCCACGTCCGATTCTCTCCTTGGCCGTGACCCCTCCCCCAGATGTCTGGGGAGGAGGTACCTTCTGTAGATCCTCAGGTGCTTCCCTTTCTTCGTTGTTCCTGCAGCTTCCTCCTCCCACCCCGCCTCCAGCCCCCGACGCCCCACAGGAAGGAGACAGAGAGCAGCCCAGTAGTCACTCATGCCAAGGCTTGGGTTCCCAGCTCTTCCTTCCAGCACCTCCAGCTGGCAGGCTTGGCAAGCAAGCCTCTGTCTGCCTCAGTTTCCTCATCTGCAAACAGCAGTGACATTCGTGTCTGCCTCCTGGAACTGTTGTAAGATCAAACGAGAGAAAGCCGTGTGGAACATTTGGCATAGTACAAAGCACAACACACTCACTTAATAAACGGTAGTTGTTATCATCACATCATTTGTCATTTGTAACAACAGCTCTCACACTTGTCTGCCTTGGAGTCAAAGGAAACCATGGAGCTGTCACATTTTATAATTAGAACGGGACACCAGCGTTCCTGGGGACGAGTCTGGGGACCGAGCCCCCGGCCTGGTGTCGGCTGCCCCCCAGCCTGGCCCCAGCTGCGCTTCCCTTTGTCTTCCCCGGACCCCGCGGGCCCACCGAGCTGAGCCAGTTCCTGTCTGTGGGACGTGATTTGTGCCTTCTTAGTTCTGGCTGCTTGTCCTCTTCTGTCTTGGCCTGCCATGCTCTCTCATTTTTTTTACATTTTCTAAAAAAAAAATCTAGTGCCTTCCAACAAAGTACTGCTCAGATCCCACCTTCCCTGTTAAGCCTTCCTCAACTCCATCTGATAGTTGGGCTTTTTTCTTCCTTCAGATTCCAACACAGTCGCTGGGCACCCACTGAGGCCAGCCCTGAGCTAGTGGTGGGACGTGCAGTCCTGGATAAGACGCAGTCCCTGCCCCTAAGAGGTACACAGTTGGGTGGGGAAGACTGACGTGGGAATTACAATCCCTGTAATAAATGCGGCAAGAGGGCGCATGCAGGGTGCTGGGAGAACACAGCACGGGGAATCTCTAACTCTGCCTCACCCAGTCAGGGAAGGCTTCCCAGGGAGGAGGTGCTTAAGCGGGAGCCTACAGCCTGAAGGGTTCACCAGGCAGAAAACGGTGAGGGCA